ATACCCCCTTCTCATTTTTTTTTTTTTTCTCCTTTTTAACAATTTTTTTTTTTTTTCAAAAAACCCCCCCCCCCCCCCCCCCCGCCCGCTCTCTTGCGTACACAAACCAAACCGGCGCGCGCGTCCGCGCTGCCTCGCTGCGTAACAGCTCGCCCAGGGTCAGCAAGACCTAGACCACCGCCACGAAAGTAATTCTATCCACCGCCGGCGGCCCACTGCGTGGTCGCTAAATACACAACTGAGAAAATATGTCGTATTACGGGTCGGTGTCTGGCATCCACGGCAGCCGGGGCGGGAACTACGGCGCGGGACCGCCGCCTCCGCATGGGGCGGGGGGGGGTCCGCATGGGGGGGCGGCGGGGTACTATGGGTCTCCTCCGCCCGGCGGCGCTGGAGGGATCTACGGGCCGGCGGATCATCAACATTACCCTCCGAATCAGTACCAAGCACAGGGCAAGGGGCCGAAGGGGAGAGGGGGGGGGGGCGGGGGCAGGTGGGCAGCGAATGGCGGGGGCGGCGGCGGTCCAGGCGGGATGCCCGGGCCCGGAGGAGGGGGCGGCGGCAATTTCCAGCAGCGGTGGGAAGGGAAGGGCAACCAATCCAAGTGAGCTGGGCTGGAAAGGAGACGATTTGGTTTTTGTTGGCGATGGGGGGAGGTTGTATATGTCCTCTGAGTCTAATGGTCAAAGTGTTCTTACACAAGGTTCCACGCACGGGTTCGAATCCCAGTGGTCCACTTACACAAGAATCACCATTTGTTTACCAAACAGCGGCGTCTGGCGAGGGGTCCGGCCCTGGAGATCCCTACTTCTAAAAATCACAGTGACCGGCTGGATGGCAACGAGCCGAGAGTATATCTTTTGTTAGAAAGGCTTACCCGTTAGACTACGCTGACTGAGTAGTCTAATGGGTAAGCTGACTGACAGTCAGCGGCTGACTGAGTAGTCTAATGGGTACGCCTTTCTAACACTCCCTATTTCGAGGCAGCCTCTGGCGGTGTGGTGATAGTGTTGTAGTGGTGCTGAAGCAAGTAAAGGGTGGCGTGTTTTTCTTTTCTCGACCAAGAGCCGGCCAATCAATACCTCCTGGCTGTGTTGGGATCGATATCTATTATATGCATGCGCAGGTGCGTGTGTACAGGGGCGCCCTCTCGCCAAGCCCCGCTCAACTTCCAGGCGGTGTTGCGATCTGTTTTACGCACGCCTAAATTTGTGAATTTGTACAAAAAGTGGGGCGCTTGGGTTTTTGCTCGGCTAAGCCCTGCTCAACGCACGGCAGGGCAGCAACACAACGGCGGCCTTGAAATATAGAAAGAGCTGCTGCAGCAGTTACTTGTTGTGCAATGGCACCGGCTGCTGTTTCGAGATGCCGTTCTGCCTGTCTTCCATGAGGACGTGAATCTCCTGTGCCTGTCTGCTTAACTTTCGTGGGTCCTGAACGTTTGTGAGTCCTTCCATGAGGAGGTATTGGTACGCCTGGAACCTTTCGAGAAAGGGAATCACATGTCGTCGAGTGTAAACCCAAATAAAGACTTTCGACAAAGAACCCGACAAAGTCAGGTTAACTCGCCAAGCAAATTTAGTTCCTGTGAGCAAGGAAAAATGAAACGCCCAGAATATGGAAAAAACGAAAAACAAATTAAGAGAAACTTAGGCATGCTGAATTTTTGTACTCCTCCAATCCCGAAGATGCTGAAGTTTTCAATAAGACTACTCATGACGTATGTAACACTGCGTACCCGGGGGGTGTTGATCGTTTTTGTTTTCGCCGTCCGTGCCAACCCCACCCCGAGCCGTGGAAGCACGAGAGAAGAGACGAACATCCCAGTAGACGAGGTTCGGTGAACCATGCCCATCATGTAAGGCAGCAGCGGTACGCTCTTCCTTAATTAGGTTTTCATCTTCACGCACGCCTGCTATGCCGGGGGTTGCACCTCGGTCGTTATGTCTGGCAGACGTCTATCTACACGCAGATTTTAAGGGTGATGTTGTCAGGACTCCAGAAATGTAATCACCTCCTGATGCGATGGGGTTGCTTTCTCCCAAGGCGCACTGAGTTGTGTGTGCGCCACCCCAGTTGTTCTGGACGTCGATGTTGGCGCCTTGCGGAATTTTGTTGGGGGGCACCAGGCGGGGTGACACAGGCAGAAGCCACACAGGACATTGATGTTTCCTAATTTGTGGTTTATTCTTCTCACTCTCTCTCTCACGATCTTTCTTCCTCTCCCTCTCTCTCTTTTTGTTAAGCCACCAGCAAGGTTCACGTTGTCCATGTGATGCAACACTTGAGTAGAAAGGGCCGGAAGTGCACGGCTTCAAAGCTCGAAAACCTTAAATTTCCCCCCGAAGCTACAATTGTATTGATGTTTTCATGCAAGAGGTCCCCGAAGGAAACGAATAGAGCACTCCACAGAGGACAGGGGCGTCGTTGGATATCGTAGAGGCTCAAAACGACGCCAACATATTCTCAACAGGAGGACATCGATAAAGGTTCTTCCGGTCGAAAGTTCCACACACGAAAAAGCGTTCGCTAGAGGCATCTAAACGATGCCGATATCTTCTCGACTGTCGGGTGTCGGATGTTCCTGCCGGAAGTTTCCATATTTCTGCTGGAAGTCCGGTATTCCTGTCGGCAGTTCCGTCTTCCTCAGGGGGTTCCAAATTCCTGCCGGTAGTTCCACACAGGCAGTCAGATGTTGTTTCAAGCGGCGTCCTCGCGGTTTATACGAATCCAATGCCCAGAACTAGGGCACATACCCCTAGTAGGCCAACCCCCGTTCCTCCCCCCCCACCACCACCTATCTCCCCCATTTTTTCTTTATTTGTGTGTCTCTGGGTCTTGTCTTGTCGGTCACCTGGCGTTCTCTGATATGCGTTTCTCTTGTGTCGCTAGAAGGACTCAAATGTTTGACAAATTCGTCCAAGCTTTGGCGTACACCCCCGCACGACACGAAATACATCATGTGGATGATCACTGTGCTGTACCATTTCCGGTTTGTTAACCTTGCTGCACAGCTCTCCTTATGTACAGAGACTCACCCTGCGCGTCTTGGTTATTAATGGCGGTATCTATTTTTCCGACGTGTTGCACGTGCTGGCCTGTAGTAGCGTCCTCACGGGAAGTATGGCCATGCTAGCGCTGGTAGGATGGGAAGATTGATGCATGAGCATCTGGGCCTGGCATGACGCAGCGTCTCTGAGCTTGCCCCGAGGCACCTGGCTGTCAGAGGATCTGTCCGCTTCGTCTTAGCCTGCTGCCTGCTGTCATCCACGCGTGCTTGGTTTGCCCTTGCACCCCCTCCTGCCTCTCTCTGGTCTGCTGCAGGGGGAAGGCAATGAACGTGAACGATATGACCCCGGAAGACCGAGAAGCACACCTCGCGCACAAGGCCGCGCAAAAGCACGCTCAGCGGTTAGCGGTGAGTCCGTCTAGGTGGCGTTGACTTACCCAGTTCAGCCCCCAGAGCGCCTTGGTCGATTTCGGATGATGCGTGGCATGCACTCAATAAGACGTTTCGTTTCTTAGCTTGTCCCTCGAATCTCCCCGTCTTCCTCTTCTTCTTTCTATCTTTGCACCTGTCTCTACGTTGACGAAGAGATTTACCTAGATGTGGTATGTATCGATCTTACTCACCCTGCACGCCGCTGTATCTCTACATCTATCTCTTTGCCTCCATGTAACGACCCGACGCACCCTTCTCTTCTCATTTCTCAGGACCCGGAACCGGAAAAGCTGGAGGTTCCTGAGCAGATGCTAAAAGAAGTCTACGCGGCGGCACAGGACGTCCTGCATGCCAAGAACGACCTCCGCGGCAGGGGGTCCGTGGACGAGAAAGACGGGCCCCGCGCTCGTCGCAGGTGCGTAGTCGGGGCCCAGCGGGCGCGAAGAAGGAAAGGGGGGGGGGGAGTACTCATGTAGCGCATGCCGTAGTCGTTGGATCATTAACCTCGCATCCCTACGATGCCGGGACGGCACGATAGGCTGAAGCGGGAGGGCGGGGGGGGGTTATCTGTTTCCATGTTGGAGGGGGGAGGGAGTGGGACCACACGTTGTCATGCATGACCCAAGTATATTGTCGACCGTTGAGTTTTTCCGATGGGTTTTGTGAGTAGAATGTTTCTTTTCTTGAGGTATTTCGGGGGTAGGGAGGGAGAGAGGGGGCGGCAGTGATAAACCCTGCGGCTGCCCAGCAAAATCAGGAGTTCTTGAAACTGAGCTGTCTGATAGAAGCGAGAACAACACCAACAGCAACACTCCCACAGCAGCACAATCCCTCACACCGTCAGCGCTGTCTTCATGATGTAGTTGGTCGTCCTTCTGCTTGCTGCCTCTCTTTCCATGCTCCATTTTTTGTAATGTTCCTTCTTTTCGGACGTTGAAATTGACGACAGCCACCCCCTAGTCGGCATAGTTACAGGTTAAAACTACCACGGTATCTAATCATCTTCGATCCCCTAACTCTCGTTCTTGATTATTCTAGTGAAAAACATCCTCTCGTTCTTGATTATTATAGTGAAAACATCCGCGATATACGCAGTACTTCGTCTTCCATGAATCCAAGAATGTCACCTCTGATGACAAAACGGTGGTCCGTTTCGTTTGTGCCGGCCACCAGGGAGGTGTGGGGAGGGAACGGGTCCGGGGTCTCGATTCCACCGCCGCCGTCCCACAAGGGCGCCGCCTACGAAGACATCCAGACGTCCCGTCGAAAGCTGCCGGCGTACGCTCGGCAGCAGGACATTCTCGAGGCCATCAACAACAACCAAGTTGTGGTCATCTCGGGAGAGACGGGTTGTGGCAAGACGACGACAGGTGGGCAAGGGGGGGGGGGGGCGGGGGGCCCCCGGTTTTGCTTTCGAAGAAAAGCGGACCCAAGGGGTGGGGGTATTTTTTCCAAGGGGGGGGCCGGGGCGGGGGGAAGGGGGGGGGGGGGGTCAGGTCTCCGGGGGAGGAAGATGAGGGAAGAACCACGTCGTGTGCGGTTCTGCGGCTTGTGATCTGTCATGGTCGACACGATGACAAGGTGTTGTTGCGAACGTACACGGTTGCGGAGGCCACTTTGAGACCGCGAAAAGTGTGTCTTTCGGTCGAGTGATTTTGCGGTCGTGCTCCATTGTTGTGGTGTCTCAGGAGGGCAACAAGTTACCCTCGTTACACACCGTGGATCATCCTATGGAGCAGCGGTGACAGCCGGATCGATGTTATGGTGGCATCAGGTAGTACGCCTCCTCTAGGCATGGTTCCTGGATAACAAACGCAGCACACGCGCACACAAAAATATGGGGCGTTTTTACGATATCCACAGCACTCTGTTAACTTTCTTTGCTGGGGCCGTCCGTCGTGTCTTTCCAGGTCCCCCAGTTCTTGATGGACCAGTACAGATATGACGGCGATGGCGGCGACGGCGGAGGCGACGGAGGGGCGAGTAAGCCTTACAACATCGTCTGCACGCAGCCGAGGCGCATCTCGGCTATCGGTAAGGCTAATCAGTGTTGTCGTTGCAGCGAGAGCATGCTCGAGCACGTGATACGAGGCTTTCGGGGACCGTGGGAGGGATTCACGCTTTTTGCATGTTGGTGGGCGGTGTCATGTGGGCGTTCTCAGGGGACGCGTTTTGACCTCAGCTCTTCGGCGGGGGAACAGGCCTTGTGTTTTTAGAAATAGAATTGAACGCGCTAACTGACCAATGAAAGACGCCAGCCTTTGTGGCGAGACAAAAAACGTGATATGAACACGCTTTCGAATCAAATTGTGTGGGTGTGTTGTGTTGCGGGCCGCAGGCGTGGCGGAGCGCGTGGCCGCGGAGCGCGGCGAGGCGGTCGGCGGGACTGTCGGGTACCAGATCCGCCTCGAGCGGCGGGCCAGCGAGCACACCAAGCTGCTCTTCGTCACGACTGGGATCCTACTCCGACGGCTGCAGGCCGACCCGCAGCTGGAGGGGGTGACGCACGTCATCCTCGATGAGGTACCGTAGGTTACGCCGAGACACCGCACCCCCTGGACCAAATTTTTTTTTAGGGCTTGATTGGATTGCTCCGCAGCCAAAAAAAAAAGTGCCAAAATTTGGCCCCAGCGATGGAACTGCCTCGTCCAGAGCTTTCCGAAAAATGCGTTGTTTGACCTTGGTGGTGGTATCCCGTTCGTCGTGGAGTGGTCGAGCTTTGAAGTTTGGTCCAGGGGGTGTGATATCTAATGCAACCTACGGTATCCTTCATCTTGAGAGAAACAGAAAAACGCTTCCTGCGCTGCATGTACTCCCTGGAGTTTCCATCAGGTCTTTTATCCCACGTCATGATCATGTCAAAATTGGGCCATTCGAGGTCAACGGTCTAACGAATACAGCATGCACGACTATGAGTACACCCGCCATGGGTCATTCGGAGCGCGCAGCCGGCCGCGCGCGTAACGATGGTTGCTTCTGGACCCGAGCGGCGTTTGTTGGACGTGGTCGCCAGCACCCATGTATATATAGCTGCGAATCGTTTGATTGCGAGGACGGCCGGACGTGTTTCGTTTTTGTTCATGAAGTTCGGGCACTAAATAGACAAGGATTTCTTCCCCAAGGAGGCAGTCTTGTGCGCGTGATGTCGCCGGAGGCTTGTTGGGCATGATCCTCTACCGCTTCATTGAAAACATATTTGAAGTGTGAATGTATGTTTGTTTCTTCACTTAGTAACTGTTTGTTTTATTACTCCGTTTGTTCGCCTACCGTGCACTCAACTGTTTATTTTGGACCTCCATTTGTGCACCACGCGTGAGGTCACATAGGAAGGAGTATGGCGACACGGAAGATTATTATTTCCTTCTTTTGGATCAATCAAGTAGCTTCTTTGCTCAAAATGTCGTGCTTCGCGTTTGGGATTTACTGGTGCGCACTTGCAACAGGTGCACGAGCGGACGGTGGACTCTGATTTCCTCATCATCATTCTGAGGGACCTGGTCTTGCAGCGGAAAGACCTTACCCTCGTGCTCATGAGCGCCACCCTGAACGCGGATGTGAGTCTCGATCTTCTTTGTTTTTTTTCGGAACACTCTTGTGTCCTTCGGTGTGTGGTCTTTTTTTTTTGCGTGTATGACCTCTTGTGTCTGTTTTTCAAGCGGCATGTTGGTGCTCACATGACCCTGTGTTGTGCCTACGTGGAACAAGCCCAAAGATAAACCATGTCTCAGCTCCTTTATCCTTCGCCGCTTCTCTGTCTGACATTCGCCTCCTGTGCGCTTGAAAAACACGGTGGCATTGTACCTCGTTCTTCATGGCCGGTTACCCGCAGCTCTTCTCGAACTACTTCTCCCAAGCGCCCAAGCTGAACATCCCAGGATACACCTTCCCCGTGGAGGAGTACTACCTAGAGGTGAGTGAGACGAGACGCGTCTTTCATTCTCTTTTTCAGTCAAAGTTGTCGTATACAAGAATTAATTCCTGTCGGGTACATGTACACCAAAGCAGAAGAAAGTGTCTGCCTTGTAACAAGTAGTAGTTGTAAGAGTCAGAAAATTTGTATAATTTTCAGTTTGTTCGAATCCCCGGGCATCATTATATCAGCGGTGCGCGCGCTAAGCTTTGATTTCGTCTGGCCCCGACGGTGAGAGACTTGAGATGGACCTTCTGTGGGGTGTCACGCATATCAATTCCTTCTTGAGATGGACCTTCTGTGGGGTGTCACGCATATCTATTCCTTCTTGAGATGGACCTTCTGTGGGGTGTCACGCATATCAATTCCTTCTTTTTCCAACACCACCAATCTTCGGATGGTGTGTGGAGGGTTAGCGCTTGTGAAAACAATCAAAAGGTAACCAAATTTTCTCGCTATGAAGCGATATGTATGTGGCACAAGTCTCTTCGGAGTGTGTGCTGTGCACTCCAACGTTTAATGGATTAATTGGTTCTCTTTCTCCGGCTCTTGTCGCCCGACTGTCGCGGCCCAGTGCACGGCTGTTTTCTCTTCCCCGAGGAGCTCGCCGCCCGCGTCCCCTTTCTCTTCTACAACGCACGACCCGCTCCCTACTCTACTTTCTCAGACTATGAGACAGCTTGAGTGTTCCATCCTCGTCACTCGATTTCACCGACCTTGCACGAGATCCACCACTGCTGTCGGTACTCGTTTCGCGGCGTTTCGTTTGGTAGGACGCCCTGGAGCTTACGCGGACGCAAATTACGCCGACGGTGAACAGGCAGGGGAGGGTGAAGCGCAAGCCGCTGGACCGGGAGCAGTTCGGACAGAAGGTGCCGTGTGGTACACGGGATGAGAAAGGGCATGGTACACGGGACGGTGGTCGAAAGTGGACGGATTTAGCGGGATGAGATGGGACGGGATGGAACGTGAGATGTTTTTGTGTTTCGTGGTACGGGACGGTGAACCGGTAGGGAAGGGTGTCAAGGAGGCTTGCTTGGCACGGTTCAGGTACCCCGGAGAAGAATGGAAACGAGCCCAACACGCGTGACTGCTGGATGTATGAACTTTCCATCTCTCTCTCTATTGGCTCTCTTTGCTCTGTTGCCTTTGGGTCGCAACGTGATGAATGCTAGCTGCTCGAAGAACGACTGCAGCGCGATTACAATTTTTCGTGCCCTCTCCGGTCTTGGTTGATCTGCTAACAGATGAGCAAGCTGGAACACTTGCGGGGGCGTTACTCGCAACGCACCCTCCAATCGATGGCAATGTTCGATGAGAGCGAGGTGCCCTTAGACGTTATCGTAGACTTGGTCCGGCACGTCCATGCCTACGAGGGGGAGGGGGCTATCTTGATCTTCCTCTCCGGCTGGGAGGAAATCAGCGCGGTGAGATTCAGCGTTTCTTGTATCGAGTCAAGAAGTTGGGTACAGTACTAGCTTCAAGGAGAGAGTACAATTGTACCCGTTGGAGATGAAACCTGGCCCGATGGGATGTGTTGATTTTATTGTAAGGAGGATTGAGGGACGCTGCTGGGTACTCGACTCACATGAGTCTGTTTCGGCCTTTTCACTGACAAAGCATGCAGTGCCAGCCGGATCAAAAACACCTAGAGAGGTACAGTACAGAGGCACACGTCTTGCGACACTTTTTTGTTTGTCGGAAGCAGTTGATGAGGAGACGTGCATACTCGGGACATGCTCCACCATCTCCTTCTTGTCCATTGCCTGGCACTATTTGCAATCCCGTTCCTCCCCCCCTTCCCCGGGGCCGATGATCCGCTCGATGGACTCGTGTGCTTTCTGCCGCTGTGCGTCGTTGCTACAAGCTACTAAATACCTCCATCGCACGTCCATCCTTTACGCCCGTTTGTGTGTGTCTTTGCTACGGCACCGACCGCGTTACATAGCCGGCTGACCAATGAGAGTGCGTGTTTTTGGCAAAACCTTCCGCATGTAGGTGCACGACAAGCTGGAGGCCCTGCCGGAAGCTCGCGCGTGGCGCCTGTACGCGCTGCACAGCCAGATGCCCACCAGCCAGCAGAGGGACGTCTTCCTCCGGCCCCCTAGGGGCGTCCGCAAGGTGGAGATGGGATTACGTGTAGCGTGTTTTGGTTGTACATGACATATTGGTGGTGATCCCGCAGCTACTGCTGCAGACGGCATTGGCAAATTGTGGTAAAACATGACATTCTGCTGTAGATGACATTTGGCATGTTTTTGAAGGGCAGTGACGTACTTGCT